CCAGTGATTTTTGACTTCAATTAACTTAAAAGTAAAGGTAATAAACAAGTGTGAGGTTTAACCCAAAGCAATATGAAGGGCAATCATCTTGTTCTTATACATATTTTTTCGATTTTAAGTGTCAAATTTTAACGTTTTGTAATTTTAGGTGTCGAATTATGGTATTTTGTAATTATATTTGTCAAATTTTGTCCTCTATGATTTTAAGTTTTTATCCATGTATATTGAGACATTTAAAATTATTGAACATTTGATAAACTTAAATTATAAATATATTGTCAAACTCAATCACATTTATATTTGTTATCAAATTTTCATAAATGATATATCAACTAACCGTCATTATTGATCGTTGATTTGACATTAATGTCATACATATAGAATAAAAGATAATATCAATTCTAATTAAAAAACAATAAATTTACATCTATTAATTAAATTAATTATCTTTCAAGCATTACATATAATAATAGTTATAGAGATTATCATAAATATAAACATACGAGTTTTACGATTGAAGGGATTCATTTCAACTAAAACTAGTAATGCAACTTTATAAGAATTATTAAAATACCTTTATAGAAGATCCTTCACGGTGGCATTATAATAGTCCGTGTATCACAGTGTGTTAGTTATAGTTAAAAAATAAGTCAACATTTATAAATTGGTAAGTCAACCGAATGTAGGCTAAACAATTCAACCACATGCCATGTGATGCAATTTATTAATTGTTTTCAGCCAGCTAATATTGCAATGGTGTCACACCAATATAAGTAAATTTGTTCACAATGGAATATAAGATGGTCAAATACCAGTTTCTCTATTTCAATAATTTTCATTGATTTCAAATTTCCTCTAAACTAGTAAAATACAAAATTGGGTCTAAAATTAAAATTGTGTACACGGCTTAGAGTCAACCATGAAATGATTAAACACCTAATAATTCCGCCAAACCCACTCATTTTTTAATCACTGTACATATAAAAGAAAAAGGTAATAGTCTTAAATTAGGACCAAAAAAGAAAAGATAAAATGTAATTAAAAAAAAAAGAAGCTAAAACTTATTAATATTGGTAGTAGTTAATTGGACTTGACAGTGTAGCCATTGTGTTTGGGCCTAGTCTTGTCTGGTGAAGGCCCATCATCATCTATGGACTTCCTCTTGTTGCTGTTACTATTATTATTGGGCTGTAGCATTTGTGGTGGGCTCTCTATTTGGGCTTCAGATGATTCTGTATTCTCTTGCTTTTCTTCTTTTTCAGGCTTTTGAAACTCCTTGCAGCTTTGGGCTTTCACCATATGGGGCCTCAGCTTACTCACATCAGATAATCTAACTGGCTTTAGAAAAAACTCCTCTGCCCCTTCTTCCAAGCATCTGTTGAATATTGGATCAATGTTAAAAACTTAAAATAAGAGAAAAAGAAAAAGGAAATACCTAATTGCAAAATAAATAAATAAAATTGAACTAAATTTACCTATTTATTCTTGAGGGGACATTTTCTGAAGACATGATGACTACTGGTATGTCTCTCAAAAATGAAGATTCCTGTCAAAATTAGAAGGAACCACAATTATTTAATAAAATTGATTTTTAAGGTTGGTGCATAATAAATAATGAAGGAAAAAAACAGTAAAATCACTTATTTGAACATGTGGAAATTAGTAAAATGTCCCCATCAGTGTATTGTCACAAATATTGGGTGGGATAAAAATATGAAAAAAGATTCATGTTGATCTATAAATTGATTGCCAAGAAAAGGACTACAACAATAAATCCAAAGTAGAGATTGGACCATGTAACAATAAGTTTATAATAAAGCCATATTAAACCAAGCTAACTTCTACACAAAAAATTACAAGGATAGTTACAACACAAAAATTGTATATTCATGCAATGAAAACTCATACTTTTACTTGTGTTGTTATTTAGAGTGTAACAATTCAGATTGAAAGTATATAAATCTATTAAGAAAAGTGTAATTGCCTAATTATTGAGTATGCCAAGTAGCAAACAAAACCATTAACAATTGATTTAAGTAAACAAATCGTCTGTTCTTCAAAATTAAACCAGTGATTATCCAAATCAATATAATAAGACAAAAAAAGAAATTGTAATTTCATACTATAGTATGAAGTTTTGGTAGCATTACAGAATTTAAAAATACATCTGATAAACATAATACATGAATATGTAGGGGAAGAAAACTGAAAAAACAGAACAGATCACAATAACAGGAAAAGCACCTTCATTTTCTTGAGCAAATCATAGCCTGTCATCCCTGGCATACAATAGTCTGTAATAACAAGATTCACTTCAATTTCCTGTATAACAATCAAATTAAACAGAATTTGTTAAAATTTCTCAAAGACAACTACCAAAAAATAAAAAATATGAAGTGTTGCAATCTAAATAATACAGAGCTAAAGCAACTGAAAAGAAGTAAATTACTTGTTGATTTTTGGGAGAATCACAAGATTCACCAAGAAATTCCAAAGCTTTGCTACCAGAATCAACTGTAGTAACTGCAAGAATCAAATCATCCAAAATAAATAAATAAAACCACTAATTAGAAAAAAATAGTACCAAAACCCATCATTAGACTTTCTAGCAAAACAAGAAAACAGAGAGAGAATAAATGAAAAATACCTTGATAAGAAGAGGTCTTGAGAAGCCTCTCAATCAATTTTCTGTCAATCAAACTATCATCAACAGCCAACACATGAAACTGAGCTTCTGCAGCTGCCATCCCCATATTGTTTTTGTTTTCACAAATCTACTTAATTTTTCAATTTAAAATAGAAAATTTGCAGAGGAACAAGAAGATGATGAACTAAGAAAGAAAGAAAGAAAGAAATCAAGAAAGCTTTGTGTTTTGAGGGAGATAAATGAATTTGAGCTTTGTGCGTGTTGAAATTAATAACCAGTCCTACCAAACAAATCTACACACCCCACAAAACAAGATCTTGGCCAGATTTCAATCCAAAGATTTTCCCTTCAAAGGAGAGAAAAAACAAAAGATTGAATTTTTATCAAATGGGTAGTTGAATTACAAGGCAAGCAACACAAAAAAGTGAACAGAAAAATATTGAGAGATTTGAAAGAATGGAATAAAGAAAGGTGAGAGCTTTATGTCATGAACATGGGGTCACATACATTTTCTTTGTACTTATGCATGTGCAATTAATTTTTTATTTTTAATTTTTTATTTTTCTAAGGGGTTGTTTTTAAGATTAAAAATTAAGAGAGATTTTTGGGATTGGAAGAAAAAAAAAGGGCTTGTGCATATTTAGAGGAGGAGGGAGGTGGGGCCCACCAAATCTTCCAAGAGATACTGGTGATGTAAGCATTCTTGCTTTGTTTTTTTATTTTAAAAAAAATATTTTATTTATTTTTTTTCTTTGTTTTGGTCCTTCCAATTTTGTTTGTGATGGTGTGAAATCATGTGCACTTTTTTCTACCATATCTTGAGAGCAGATGGTGCAGTGAGAGGGCAAATTTATTTCTGAATCCCTTTTGAGATTTGCTACCCATATGGCCATTCATTGTGTGCCCCATGCATGACTTGATGCATTTTTCTCTTTTTTTTTTTTTTTTTTGTTTG